CAACTATCAGCCAGGGAGAAAAAGACCACTAACATTGGTAAAATAACCTAAAAAGTTCAGTAAATGGAAAAAAAATGACATTTGTGCTGTTATAGCTTTGAACAGTGGATTTAGTTGTTCTTGAATTACTGAAAACTTCCTTCAAACCTGAGTATAATCTTCTGTTGCCTTATCCTGAAAGCAGTTATTTACAACCATAAATAAGAATGTAAAAGGGCAATTTATCAGAATCATAGTGATTTATACTTATGTTGTACAGGTGAATGACCACATAAAATTCAAGGTAACAAAAAATCAAGCTAAATGTAGGCCTGTGGTTAGGCAGACTAATTCGTTCTGATCACAAAATTCACAGAATCATAGAATGGTTGAGGTTGGAAGGCACCTCTGGAGGTCATTTGGTCCAACCCCTCTTTGCACAGGCAGGGCCACCTAGAGCCGGTTGCCCGGGACCATGTCCGGATGGCTTTTCAATATCTCCAAGGATGGGGACTCCACAACCTCCCTGGGCAACCTGTGCCAGTGCTTGGTCACCCTCACAGTAAAAAGGTGTTTTCTTATGTTCAGAGGGAACCTCCTGTGTTTCAGTTTGTGCCCATTGCCTCTGGTCCTGTCACTGGGCATTAGTCACTGAGATTAGTCTGGCTCCCTCTTCTTTACTCTCACCCTTCAGGTATTTGTACACATTGATGAGATCCCCCTGAGCCTTCTCTTCTCCAGGCTGAACAGTCCCAGCTCTCTCAGTCTTTCCTCATATGTGAGGTGCTCCAGTCCCTTATAATCGTCCTTGGCCCTTTGCTGGACTTTCTTCAGTATGTTCATGTCTCTCTCGTACTGGAGGACCCAGAACTGGATACAGCACTCCAAGTGTGGCCTCCCCAGTGCTGACTAGAAGGGAAGGATCACCTCCCTTGACCTGCTGGCAACACTCCTCCTAATGCAGCGCAGGATACCATTTGCCTTCTTTGCTGCAAGGGCACATTGCTGGCTCATGTTGAACTTGGTGTCCACCAGGATCCCCAGCCCCTTTTATGCCAAGCTGCTTTCCAGCTGGGTGGCCCCTGGCACATACTGGTGCATGGGGTTCTTCTTCCCCAGGTGCAGGACTTTGCACTTCCCCTTGTTGAATTTCGTGAGGTTCTTGCCAGCCCATTTCTCCAGCCTGTCAAGGTCCCTCTGGGTGGTAGCACAACCCTCTAACTTATCAGTTTGGTGTCATCAGCAAACTTGCTGAGGGTGCACTCTGTCCCCTCATCCAGATCATTAATGAAGATGTTAAACAGGACAGGACCCAGTACTGACCCCTGGGGTACACTGCTAGTGACTGGCCTCCAACTAGACTTCAAGCCTCTGATCACTACCCTCTGGGCCTGGCCATTCAGCAAGTTTTCTGTCCCTTACGGGGACATTATGGCTCATTCAGGCCATACTTCAACAGCTTCTCTATGAGGCTTTTATGGAAGACAGTGTCAACAGCCTTACTAAAGTCCAGGTAGACAATATCCACTGCTCGACCCTCAGCTACTGAGCCAGTCATTTCATCATAGAAGGTTAGCAGGTTGGTCAATCATGACTTTCCCATGGTGAATCCATGCTGACTACTCCTGATGACTTTCTTGTCCTTCATGTGACTGGAAATGGTTTCCAGGATTAGCTGCTCCTTCACTTTCTCAGGGATTGAGGTGAGGCTGATCTTCTCATCTGAAAGGCTTGCATGAGAATTTAAGGAAACTGATGAATTGGCTGTAGCCATTTGCAGCAAAGAACCATATTCAAAAAAAGGGGGGTGGGGGCGAATGTCTATCAATAGAGAAAAAACAAAATGGTTCTTTTTATACTTGCAGAGATGCAGAATGAGACAGTAGTTAAGAACCAGATCCAGAAGTGATACTCAGCATTTCAACACCTAAATGTTACTTGTCACCCTGGGAACTGAATTAAAAATTCTGGTCAGATGAATATATTTCCTGTACACAGAAGGGGAAGTCAGTTGTCTGCAGCTGGAGCTGACACTTGCAGGCATGCTTAGTCTAGGGACCCTTCCCCAGGCAAAAGAAGATGTTGAAAAGAAGGGTGGGTCTACAGGTCCATCCTGCAACCAGCAGCATATACAGAGCATTGGGGTCTGGAGGAACCGTATCTCAGCAGAACGCCCTAGCTTCAACCCTACACAGTATTTACGACACGCTTTGAAGTAGGGTCACTGTACAGCAAAGGAGCACAATTAGTGGGCTTGGAAGAACCACAGCCAGAGGGAATACAATGCCATGGGCCGGTGCTTATGGCATTCAGGAGGGCAGGGCATGAGCAAACTGGGAGTTCCCTACTCCAAGCCACATAACAGCCACTGATCAGCATAAAATAAAGAAAAAGTCCTGGGAGAAGGAACAGAGTCCTGGATAGTATCTTAACCCAAATTAAATGGAGGGCATTCATGGTTAGCACTTTTCTTATTTTTTACATTAAAACATGACCTTCCAGAGATCTGCCCCGCTGAAAGAGACTGTGTAGGCACTATGAATGTCAAATAGGAGTGTAAAACTAAATGAGTTAAATTAGTAACTTATGCATGATTTTTAAAAGCCCAATGTATAAAAACAAGTCATTCCACTCAATATTAAGCAACAGTATTTAGTTTAGTATTTTCAGAGCTTCTATTGCCTCATTTTTAAGTATCCAACCTGAAACACATTGAGTCTGATTTGCAGAGGAAGGAAGCATTTCTGATTAGAACTAAAATCAGTCAGAATGACAGACAGGAGCTCAGATCTACCAGACCGAAAATATCCAAACTGTCTAAAAAGACCCCAAAAGATTAGTCTTATTCTTTTAGAATACAACACACACCTACCAGATTTAGTGACCAAATGCTTGAATGCATCAAGCAAAAGCAGTATCTTTCAAATATGAAAGAGCAGATTACTTAATTGTTTGAACTTACGGAAGAAGCACTTCTTGAATGTTGTTCCAGATTGATTTACCTCCTACTATGATGGCAAGCTGAGTTGTGAGTTCGAGGAGACATCCGCCTGGATCACACTGAAGGTTGGAAGAGACATGAAAAATTTTTGAAGTTGGGTAACTTTTCAGGCGTGAATGAAGCATTTAAAATAATGCATTCCTGGTTTATTACGATAACATTTCTTAAAGCAACACAAGAAGACTATTTAGGCAAACCTTTCCAGTAATGTATGCAAAAGCCAATTCCAGGCCACATATGGTCATATGTGGTAGGTTGACAAGACACTAGTGAAAGAGTGAAATACTAGGTGAAGTCATGCAGCTTTGTACTATGCTGTCACCAGGAGAGGGTCACCCAGCAAAATATGAATGCTTCTACTGATGTTCTCCCCTTCCCCTCTGTGCTCATTCACAGGTTGTTGGACCATGAGAAAATAAGCTTGTCTGGGTACGCATAATACATTCCTAAGCCCGCCTGGTCTCGTGTCATGTTCATTTATGCTAAGGGTTACTAAGGAGGCAATTGGCTTGGGAGGCAGTCACTTTTTGAACCCTCATGTTAAATATGTACAGCTATGTTATGCACTCTTAACTGCAGCAGAATACCTGGACTAATGGCTCCTGCTGTTTAAAACCAAACACTATCATACATTCTTACCTCTTCATTGCGATACTTTCCTAGCCAATAAACCGGATTTCCAGGGTGACCTACAAATTTACCCTTAAAGAAGGCTATGTAGAAGCATGAAGAGTAATAGTTGACGAACTGGAACAAGAACATCTTTGTGGTCAGACTGTTTTCATAATCGGTCTGTGTCCTTGGAAGCTCTGCAATTAGGAAAAAAAAATGAAAAAAAAAAAAGCCAACCTACAAGTAACCTACAAGCTGCTTTAAAGCCTCAACTGTAAAAGTATGTGTATGCCTTGTATTCCTTAATATGACTGAGAACATTATGAATTAGATTGTACATAATCCCCATGTATACTGTAACCATTACGCTAATTCTAAAACTATATGTGTTGTAAAAAGGAAAGAACTTGTTCCCTGACAATAAAGAAAAAGAACAAGCAAAAATTCTGATAACTCAAGGGAAAAAAAAGCACCCAAATCCAGCACACTCAGGAAAGATGCAAATGTAACACTTTGAACTGATGAAACAGTACTAAATGAAACTATATTAAAACACCGCACTACTTCACACATCTACAGTAAAATAGCTACTTTAATGTTGATGGCCTGGATGTAAAGAATAATAATATTTGTGACTTTATCTATCTAATAACATGGGATTGGTATCTAGCTTTGGAACAGTGACCTTATTTCATTTATTTACAAGAAAATAGCTATTCTTCCCATAAACAAAAGCTAATGTAAATGAATGTGTTATGCGTTACTGATCTGTTTTCATAAAGCTTGGTTATTATAGTAATTTTGTTTTGTCTGTTTCACAAGCACAAAACTGTAAACAATTGATCTTTCATGCTGGCTATACAAGGAGTTTTCAGGCAAAGAGCTGAATATCATATTCCTTTGATATTGAGAAGATCTGTCTTTGAAAATTTCTAGATGGCATTGTATGATTTGGCAGGAAAATTCTGAAATATGTGATACAGGTGTTCATTTACTGGAGTGCTTATTATACATATAAATGCTATTTTCTTCTTGCTATTTTACCCCAAGTTTCTATCTGAGGTACAGCAGCAGCATACCGAAGTCAGTTATCAGGATTGCCACTTTTTCATAGATGACGTTGAGAACCATAATGACTATAAAGCTGATGAGCGAAGCAGTTACTGAAGTGGCTGTCTGCGGAGTCAGGTACTTGCGGATCGCCTCCGTTCCGTTAATGTGCTTTGGCAACTTTGCAGAAAACACCAGGAAAACCGAGAGCCTGTAGACAATGATTCCAATAACTGAAGCAATAATCAAAAGAATCTGCCAAAGGAATGCAAGAAAGGTGTTAATATTGAACCACTGGCTTTGGGAAAAAGTGAGTTTGAAATACTTTTTACAATAGGCAAAAGGAAACCGATTGGGTGCCTGTCATTCCATCGCGTAAGATGAGTGCAAGAGCATGCTCAAATAAGGTAGAAGGCAATAAATTTAGACTGCATAAAAGAAGCCTTTTTTTCATGCAGCATAGTCAATCTGCGGGAAAGAAAAGAGATGGTCTGGTTTATGACTAATAACAAGGTTTGTACCAGTGCAAGCTAAGATAATGAGATGTGTAATCAAATCTTACGCCTCAGGGCATGCAATGGTTCCAGGAGTTAGGAAGAAACTCCCTCTTCTGACACTGGGCAATTGGCAGGATGGCAAATGTACTAGCAGGTCTGCACTGATTATGGAGGGGGCTGTACCTTCTCTTTCATGTGATAATATTACAGACTACAGACCCCTTAAAGGAATAGACAAATTTTAAGCCAAGTCATGTAATCTGCAGGAGTTGTAATAATGATCCATGCACCCCATCTTGCTTGCCTGAGTCTCTCTTTCTGCTTTTCCTCCTGCTTTTATTTCTTGCTAGTTCTCTAGCTATTATTCAGATTGAGGTCCATAGAGCTGTGAATCTTTTTTCACTATCTATCTCTGCAAACTGCCATGAATCCACCTACCTCTCCCCCTCCCTGCACATAATAAGAGAGTGCAGTAACACAAATGACAAACTCAGACCAAATCTCTTCCCTTCAACATGAAGTCCTGCCTATTTAAATCCAACAGCAAGCCCATATTCTTTCCTTTGTGTTTCAGACGTGTTAACGTTGAGGGTCTCGTGGGCTGCCAGCCACCACTCTATCTCCTGTCTGTCTCCTGTCACCTAGGATGAGGTCTTTTCCAGCTCTGTTTGGGCTACAGGCGAGGAGGACACACAGCATGCTAAAATACTGAGCTTTTCAAGGCAACCTCTCTGGGCATGCTCACCATGTTAGATATTGTTTCATGGGTGAGTGGACTGCTTTCAAGTTTTAGTTGTAATTAAAGCAGCAGCTCTGGAAGATTAGAGAGAGCCCAGCTTTGCTCTGTTAAGTGAAATGAAAAACCTGAAAGAGGCCCAGGACTGTGAGACACGATATTGAAGCGAACGGCTGGAACAAGTAGGATAGAAACTGGTAGGGAAGAGAGCATATAAACCAAAGTCTTTCCCCTGCTTCCCCCCAAAAGCAAAGACATTTATCTTAAAATAATGAGGGAAAAACCAATGGACCACATTCACATCCATAACTCACAAGCTACAGCTGCAGGATATTTTGACATATTTTCTATTGACTGTATGCTAATGAATATTCAGTGACTACAGCTACCTTTTCCATGTGGGTCCATACCTTATGGGCTTGGTTTATGCATCAGATGGAAATCCAACTGAACTTGTTCCTTTGTTACCTTTTTTTCAGTTCAAGAGGATCTTTTTTTAGACACTTACTAGAGAACTGAATTCATGAGGTGAAAAAATAAGAGAACTTTACCCAGAAGAAGACTGCACTTGTACAGAAAGTCATCCGTATGCACTTCCCACAGGTAGTGTATGGCACATGTTCTTCTTGCTGTAAAAGATTTAGAAACAGATCAAGGATGCACCCGATCTTTTCTTCATATTTTTTGGGTGCTGCAATTAAACCCTTTATAATATTGAGGGCAGAAAAAATGAAAGAAAGAAGTCTCTGGTTTTGTCTCCTTTCCCACTTTGTTGGCCTGGAAACTCACATTTATTCATGATTTCAAAAGTCTTGCCTGATTACGTGTCTTTTTTTTTGCTGCCCATTCTAAGATAAAAATGACTTTCATAGAGGCTGAGTGTCCTGAGCTCTTACTGACTTCAGCTATGACAGGGTGCATAGTCCTTTTCAATGGACCCATCCTTCGTGGCTGATCATGGCATCCAAGGCCATCAGCTTTCAAACCTCATTGGCTAAAATTAGCAGGCACTAAAATTTTGGTCCTTGATCTCCATATTTCTCAATTTATCCCACAGGAACAATGGGATGGCTTTCCCAAGGAAAATGCCTACCTCAATGTGGTGGTGTGAAAATTCACTGAGTCTTTATAGGATCTCTGAGGATCAAAATCATTATGTTTTAACATATTCTTTACTCTTTGAACTGTCTGAAAGGAACTTTCTAGCTATCACTTTATATATTAAAGGTGGCATAGGTTTATAAGCTTTTAAAAAGAACCAGATTTTGTGTAGTATGAGATATAAAAAGAAGATCCATATAGGATAGTTCCAACTATGGCAGTTAATTTTGAAACTTTTCAAGTGCCCTCTAATAAACATTAGTATAACGTGGATGGAATGTGAAAGCAATGCAAATGATCAGATAAATGCCAGAGTAATATATTGACAGAGAACAGTAAAAATTGAGGCTGAGCTGGAGTACAGAAGCTGAAGCTAAAGCTACTCAAAATGTACAATAAATAGAGATCTAAACTAAGATCCTCATAAATATGAATCCTATTTCATTGAAATGAGGATTATTCTTGTCCCTGTGAGTTTGCTGTTATTAATCATAATTGCATCCACATGCACTTAGCAACAATACCTATTTTCAAACAGAAACATCTTTGGTTAAAAGAACAGTCTTGGCATGATATATAATGTAACATCTTTTCCTCTATTTCACCCTTTTTTCCTGATGCATTCTTAGGCAAAGATAGCAAATGCTCTGTGATCTTGGCCTCTGGCAGCAACACTGAATCCTTTCTTGGGGGATTTAATAAAGTAGACTTAGTCTCCTAAGCTGGAAATGATGACTACTTCTGTTTATTTATGACACAGGAACCTCAGCAGTGCAAGCTCCTCAAACAGGCAACTACTTTAAGGTGCCTACAGTTAGGTATAAATTCCCTCCCACACAACTGTACTGTGTAAGTTCACTATTTCCAGGCCAGCTTATCAACTTTCCTTGAAGCACTGCTGATTTATACAGCTCCGGTCTAGATTCACCATTTTCATAGTGTCCTCTCAGAACACGTCTATTGCAGTAGCCATCACCAGTTATCAAAATATTCCTTACCTGTGTGATTTCATTCTTTACTGCATGAGTGCACCGAGCTTCGTATTCTGGGCGAACTTGTTCTTCTTGCTCTAAGTACTCAACTGTGTCCCATTCATACTCCAGTTCAGCCTGCCGTCGCTTCCAAAACTCCAAAAACAAAGTAACTATCCAGAAGATAAACAAAGTGAGCAATACCATGTGAGTATTGGACACTGCTTGACCCCCTGGGCTATAACATGTGGCTCAGTTTCCCCTACAGATTTCCACAGACATGGAACAAAACCCTTATTGGCTAACGTGATGGTGAAAATAACTGGATCTACTTATTTATGCAATTATTGCTTTGATATATAGGTACTTTAACAAGAGAAACCTGGGGTAAATGGTGTTGTAAGCATATGCTAAAGAATAAAGATAAATTTATCTGCTTTCTGCCTAAGGCTAGAATATGAGCACTTTGGATTTCATATTATAGACCGCTTTTGAAAAAGTTTATCATGGGATGCATAAGAAAGCAAGTTGATTGGATAGGTGAAGACAAAACACTGGAGAGTGCAGGACTTCTAGAAAAGAAGAACTCAGTATGCCAAAAATTGCCACGAGGAAAAGCTCATGTTCATTCAGTCTGCAATTTCTGTGTGGACAAATTATCAGTTTGCAAACTACAAGAACCAATGATGGTTCAGGTAAAGCGGTTGAAACACAGCTATCTTTCCTCCTCTGCTAGCACAAATCTGAAGGGGCTGCAGCTCTTTTTGCATGGCATGGAGCTTAGAAACGCTGTGGGCTGGGTCAGCAGTTTCCCTGGACTGTGCTCCTACAACTGGAAGCACTGGGGGACCAGGTACACAGATGCCTAAGTGTTACTGGCTAGATGTGAATCCAGCCAAACTCATTACCTTGGCCTGAGACATGGTGCAGGTAGATCTGGCAGCAGAGGCCATGACAGACACAGCTGAGAAGGCTAGGAGGAGCTCGGGATGATGGGTGTCAGTACCACGCTCCCCAGTACACCCGGATGCTTTATTACTGAAGACAGTGCATCCTCAGATTAAATGAGTGGTGTGGCTCTGCAGCACTGCCTCCAGGAGGAGTTAGTATCCCGTCACTGCACTCCTCATTACTCCCATTGTCTGGGAGTAATTAACCCTGGAAGTGTTTTTTTTTAAGTAGTTTGGCCCCTTATCCTGAATGATGAAACATCAATGGCATGCAGTTACAAGTCCAAACAGTAAAGGTTATTTCCAAAATCAGGTGTGGTCAATAAACCCCAAACTGAAGCATTTAAAACCCAGAAAACTCCATGGGCTGGGCTGTGAGATGACCTTGGCATCTGCACACAGGCAAAACCCCAGGAAACCCTCCTCCCCTGATTATTCAGGGGCCTCTTTCACAAGGACTTCTCTCCTACTTCATGCTTAGAAGCACAAAGGCCATTCCAAGCAGTGGGCCAGATGATCACATCTGCCTTCTCCTGCAGAGCAAGGAGATTAGTCTTCCATGAACCTCTAACTGCTGCCCAACCCAAATCACACGAAGCTACAGGCTATACCGATTTGCTCCAGCTGCAAATCTACCTGCTGCTGGGGAGTCCAGAAGTGCAGGGCCTCCTTCTGTGATAGCCTCTGTGCTAACAGCGAAAGAAGGGCACATAACATGGGGACAGCACTCTCAGCCCCAATACAAAGAAAACTTCTACTAGCTAAAATAAGCCAGCAGCCAAGTTGCGTCTTTCAGAGCAGGGAAGGAGCTGCTGCTCCTTCTACTGCTGCTACACTTTCCTTTTATTTTGAGCCAGCATTTTTTTACCAGTGGAAACAAATGACGTTTCAGAATCAGGAGATCTGAGCACTAATTCCACCTCACGTTGGTAATTTGTGGTGGCCCCTTCTGCGCGTCCCTCAACACTGCCATTCAGTATGGCCCAGGTATTCTGCCTCTGAAGCTGTGTCACCAAGGACTGAAAAGAAATGCTTCCATTGGAGAATATTTGTTTGTTTAACTGATCTTGTTCAGGGAGGCGATCCAGTGACGGCAGCAAGTAAAGTGGAAGCTGCCTTTGTTCATGACCTTTGTCAACCTAATACCATCATGGCAGAAGTGTTGGTTCAGAGCTTTAATATATAGAGGGCTAATTCCTGAGGCCAAATTCCCGAGGCCAAATTCCCTGGTGTTTTATAGTGCTTTAAGATCTTTGAAGGGAATACACACAAAACAAATGCAATTATTAAAAGTGTATTGATGATAATGATGCAATAATGTATCTAAAAATCTAGTATTATTTTAATTGTTTTGGACCAGGAGGTCTACAAAAGTATTAGAGCAAGATGAAAATTACAGCTGGAATTGCACCAGGACCATGGGTCATTTGGATTCAGTACAATTTTGACTGAATTTCTGTAATACAATTCACCTCTTTGTATAGTGGACTTATGACAGGAATACTAACAGACCTTGCAGCCATCACTATAACCATGCAGCTTAACTTTATAATTATTACTCTTGGAACCATTCTTCAAAACAGGAAACACAATTCTAGTTAAAAAGCAAATTGCAAATAGATTAACTATTCAGATGACAGGAGAAGATTACATTAGTATCAAACTTCTAACTTTCTTTTATTTAGAGAATTTCCTGCTGCTATTTTGATTTTAGCATATATTTTGAAAAAAATCTTCTTTTTGAAATCATATGTTTCATCTTATATTTCTTTAAAGCAGTAGCTATTTTAAAGCATTTTAGGTCATCATAGGAAAATAAAAATACAATGCATTTTACAAAGAAAGCAAATTATGTATTCCTGTCAGCCTACATATGAATTTAAAATGTTGCATGAGTTATTTTCTCTATAGTATCCTGTATACAGGCCTAACATTCAACTTACTTTGGTCATTTCTGGATAAGACAGTGCAATAAAAGCCAGTTAACAACGTTGCTCATATGAACAAATGAAACCATTTCTGGGAAAATAAACCTTGCCTAATCCCTTGAATACAGCACCAAGTGGTTTCACCCATGGGAAACATCCTGGTTTCAGATATATTTTAGCTGCTAAAAGATAAATTTAGTGCTTGTAACTAGTACACTTTTTACAATCAGTTTCTTAAATAAAGACAGGAGGAAAAAATTCCTGGGAAATATAATAAACGACTATTTTTCAATTGCCTTGCGCAGTCACACAGCTGTTAATAGGCACAGGAAGCTCCAAAACTCTTCGGAAAAAAACCAGCTCCTCTGCCAGATAGACTTAAGCATGTGGCTGGCTCCTGCTGGATGAACATGAGGCACCTCTAATCACTTCTCTCGGACTTTTCTCCAAGTCAAATGAAACAAAACAGGCACTGAAGACCAACTTTAAGTTCTACAATTTTTTGTTTTCTTATGATGCTAAAAAGGAGTTCCTGTGGATGTACATATCTTCTACAGAACTACCTACTAGTGAATTCCTGAGTGCCAGAAAATGAAGTTGTTGCAAATTTATCCATGTTTTCTTGGCTGATGCTGGAGGCTTGGCCAAAATTAGATGACAAACCACAGTTGTTGCAATCGACTTACCCCATATTCCCATAAATACTGCAAACACCAGTGTTCCAAAGCTATCAAATATACAGAGTTTCTGGAAAAATGAAAAAGAAAAAAAAGGCTGAAAATATAATCGACCATTTTTTTTCTTCTACACTGACCCAGCACAGACGCTGCTTACTGAACATGGTGATTTTTAGCTTTTATGTAGTTTAATAAATAATCTTTATTGATAGCGTTTCCTCAATTTCTGTCAATGTACACCACCCTCCAGTAAATTAAGGAAATTAAATGCAAAGCCCAGAATTAAAAATATAAGCCAAATATGCAGCAAGAGGATAGTAAAATGGTGTGCTATCAAACTTCCTGCCATCTGTTGCATAGGAAGAGGAAAAACAGTGCTTCTGGTCTGGGAACTCTATACTGAGTTATGTATTTTTAATACAGCCACAAAAAGGCAATGGACACATCTGGTTCTCGTGAGCAGGATGACAACAAATCAAGCCAGTTAGTAAACCCACATTCTGGTGAGATACCTCTGTGGTCACAATTTGCCTTTTCTTTCATCATAGCCTTTTCCCTATATTCTTATTTCTTTTACCCTTTAAGTGTGCTGAAGCAACACATCAAAGCTGGGCAAAATATTTTTGATGAATAGCTGAAAAATTGCAGTTTTGGGAGCGGAAAGGAAAAAAAAAAAGTGCAGTTTTCCTTATGGAAAGGAATGACAAAAGGCAAACATCAGCCTAGTGAGACAAGTTAGCGGAGAAAGACAGTCAGGAACGCAGAGCAAGAGTCTGGCTGTGTCATGGCTAATAGGACACAGCTGTGTCACAGCTTCTGTCGTAGCCCACATCAGCCTCTCCATCTACCCATCCCCTCCTTGATGACATGGGTCAAATTCAAGGCACAGATCCATGTAACTTCTTCAGGGAGGCAGGAGGCAGAATTTAGAAATGTCAAAACATGCTTTAAACATTTCCTTAGCAAAATTGATTCAGAGCTACTGAATCAAGATTTTAGTAATTGAACATAGGTTTTCTTTTTTTTTCCCAAAAGGAAAAACTACCCCAAAATGAAACCAAACTGTTTAATTTTTGATTAACCCCCCCTGTTATTCCCATATTAAATATTTGGGGGCTATGTGAAATTAAAAAACCCCAAATTTTTTCATCTTAGATCAAAGCGGAGCAATTATTGTTGTTTCTACTTTTCAAAATTCAGTCACTGTATCAAAAGGCACAACTATTTGCATAGTTCTAGTAATTCTGCAAGACATTAGTGAAAGAACATTGTTTTATACGTAATACTAGAGAAAGTGCAACTAAAGTTCAACAGCATGTCTATAAGCTGTAAATGTAGTTACCTTGGACGATTCACAAGTGATGGTGAGGTTCCAGTAGGTACATACTTTATCACACTGAGGGCACATTATGATATTACCTCCTATGTTGGGATCACATACTTCTTGGCTAAAAACAAAACTAGTCAGTCACTCACCACACTAAATTCTTTAGTCCTTTTTCGCACATGAGGACAGTGCAATAATCTCAGGGAAATGAGAAATAATTTACCGGTGATCTGCTCTCAAGAATTCCGCCCCCCGCCCTGGCAACACATCCCCATTCTTAGTCCTCATCTCAAAAATGGATGATATGAGGGGAAAATAATTTCCATCCCTTGTACGTGGTGGTAATTCTCAAAACTGCTCACATTAAAAACAAAATAACTTTTCAAAGACCTCATGCTCTTCAGTAGGAAACCCACACTCGCATGCTTACGTGGGCTATCATAGCAAGTCCGAGGGGAGAAGGAAGAGGAACACTGCCTACCAGAGGAAGGAATAGCTGCGGAACTGAAATGGCTACCTAGTCCCTGTGGTCTCCTAAGGAGTATCAGATTGGATAACATGCAGAGGGCTGCTAGGGTGATTCAAGGAATAGCAGATCTGTCTCCTAAATGATGGCAAAAGAGTTTGGCTTATCTAACCCAGTACGGTGGAGGCTGAAAGGTGATGTAATTGCTTTCAATAAGTACATCAGCGGGGTAAACACCAGGGAGGGAGATGAACTACTTATCTAAATGATAATACTGGTGTAAGACTAGACGGGTATAAATTGGCCACAGGAGTGGAGCTGTGGAACAGCCCTTCAGCGTGTTTTGTAAAGATGAACACCCTTCCTGAAGGGGTTATACAGTGTGATGGCCTGCAGAGGACTTGGCACAATGACCCAGGAAAAAACACCTGGGTCATTGTGCCATGGTTGAATTTTGTCATGTTCTGATGAGGGAATCTGTGTCATGACTATGCCTCTCCTCCCAACGTATCCTGGGCAGTTGAAGCCCCCTGTGCTGTTGCTCTTCCTCTAGTCTTTTCCCAAAATAGAGGAAAGAAATTTTGGGGGTTTTATCAAAGTCTTTGGATATTTCCTTTAAGGATTACCACAGTGAAAATGATCTGTTACGGCACTTCAGTATTGACTTCTGGCTGTCACTCTTTTCTTTGTGTTTCTACACTAGGTGTGGTGAACCTAGTGCAAAACATAAGTAAAATGATGAAATAACAAACTCTCAGATACCTATCGCTACAGTGGCCCATGGACATCCATTACTCTTCTAGCTCACATTTTATGCCTTTACCTTCAAATCCACAACCGTTGCTGTTCTCAAACCCTTTCATTTTGCCTCTTTTATTATGCAGTGTCTTGCAAACCCTATACAGTCCCCCTCTGTAGGGGACTGATCAAAATTGCATGTAACATTAACATAGGCTTGATAGGTACCTCCATGTGCAGTGGTCCTTTGTCAGGCATCCATACAGAAAACAGCCAACTCCTACAACTGCAGCCACGATCAGCATATTAGTGTAAAAGCCCAGCCAAGCAAAGTAGATTCCAATTTTCTCTCCATAGTATTTCCTGTGGAGGGGAAAGGTTTTTTTCTGAAATGCAAGTAAATTCACATTTCTGTTTCAAATGGCTTGTCATTTCAGACACCTTGTGCCAACTCGTATGGTCATATTCCTCTGGTTTGAACTTTGGGATTGCAGAACTATTACAGCTGGGTATTTCTATCACCACTTTTATGCTTTTATAAGATGATAGGAAGGGGAGGAAAAAAAAAGGAAAAAGAGAGAAAGATCATACCTTGCAAAGGCAAATTTTAAGTGGTTGCCTTTTCATGAATTGGCTCAAAAATGCTCCCATGCATGAGCTGATACAGGTGTAGGTACCTGCCCTCAGTACTGAGCTGTGCCTCTTTGACATCCCCCAAACCAGACCTGTTATGTAAATCCCCAGTTCCCTCTGCATTAGTCCAGCCCCAGTCACACCAACCTGATGAAATCCAGGGGCTGCAGTTTGAAAATATTTTTAGGATGAGCCCATTCTCTGTAGAGATGATATCGTTCGCTTGGGCAGTCAGAATCGGTTGATTTGCACCTAAAACTAGACTGCAAAACAGAAAGAGCATGAGAAGAAGATACCATTAATCTAACGAGCACAGATCAGCTCTCGCCTCCGCAGACCCCATGTCATGAAGCCAGAGCCTGGAATAGCCTTTGTGCCCAGTCTCACTGCAAGCCAGGAAACGGAGCAGGAAGGCAGCTCTGGGAGTGCACCAGGATTCAGGATAGAAGGTTGTCAGAAAGGCAAGGAATGCTAAAGCAAACGCTTTACATATGTGAGCTGAAAATAACAGAGACTCATCATGAACTTAAATCTAAGCACATGTCAGCGTCTTGGCACTTAGGAATAGAAAACAGAAAAGGTTCCATTCTAATTAGAGAACAGGACTGAATTAAAATGGATTTTAAGTAGCTCTAACATGCTAACACACTTTGCTTCAAAATAATATTGTACGGGAATGAAGGCTGGAAAGTCTGAGGGATAAATCCAGGGCTTCTAGTCTCTGTTTTAAATTTAAAAGAGAGTTCGCATGGAGATAATCCTTGTGTTTTTTACTAGGTTATTTGAAAACCTATTTCAATAAAGCCTATCTTATTTGAGGGAATTTTCCATTCTGTATCTGTGATGCAAGAAGACAAGTGACATTTGTAGAAATCTATAGGCTACTTTTGATTTTCAGAGTAGCTGTGATATATAATTCTAATTTTATAAAAAGACAGTCATTAATTACTAGGCATGCTGAGCCCAAATTCCCCATGTCATGACAGAAATAGCCTGCAAGACAGGTTTTAAATCTTTAAAAGGAAACCTTAAAAATGGATAGTCATGAATGATATTAATTCTATCCTGTAAAGCTTTGGGTTACTTACAAGAAACATGATTTGTCTTGATTCTGCCTTAAAGATTTCTCTGAAATCCTTGAAGGCCTCCTGAATATTTTAAGCAGAGTCCAAACAGCTGAAGCAGTTACCATTCCTGACCTTCCATGTTCTCAGTGTCTTCTCAACAGAACACACCTCAGACACAGAACGGTGGCTCGGATGGGGAGGAGGTGGGGGGTGTGGGTATATCATAGGTATAATGCAGAAAATCAGCCCTCAGTCTTTGCTTACTGTATCCCATTTGCAGCCTCACATGGGGTTTTTCCTTAGTCAAATACTCTGAAATCTGATAATTTTTCCTTCCTTCATTTTCTTTTTCTGTGCTATTGCTAGCCTTTGTATGCAAAACAATTTTCAGTATAACTTGCTTCTTTAACTGATATACTTTAAAGTGTAGACACAAAAGCGGGATTTCTTATTATTGCAGATGAAATTCAACCCAGTTAAGCTTTTCTCCACATGACTCTGACGTCACCTGTGACGTGTTGGACTGGCCGGACAGAGCCTTCCTGCAGAAACGTGAGTTTCCCTGCATGTATGTCGCAATGTTTGGGAACTGCGTGAATGTTTTTCACTGTGTGAGACTGTCACACATACTAAGATGAGGTTTGTATTCTACATCTTTATTAAAAATGTTCATATTTAATATGAATTTTAATACTGAAACTGAATACTAAAAAAAGGGGCAATGTTAAAATTGATTTAGAACTGATGATACAGTGTGTCATGGGAACTATCACTCAGGCCAGGCACTTTACTGAACTACATCTCCCGGAGAATACAAGGTTAACACCTTCTAAATGAAATATATTGTTTTTCAGTTATGGAGCTACATTTTTAACCAACAGTGCTTTGGAAGAAAATCTCTTTAGCCAAACTATGTCCTATTCTACTATGTGGATATAATAACCAGTCAAGGAGAAAGGCAATCAATGGTGCTTGTATCTTTTGATATAAGCCCCACAGATATAGTTCAGACCTCTATTTTGAAATATATTTTAGTTACAAGCACTAGACTTACGTCATGAAGGGGAAATGCCGCTTTGTAGATTCCAGTGTCCAGTAATTTGTTAATGCCAAACTTTTTCACATTGTTTTTGGTTGCATATTCCACACGGGACAGGATAAAATGAACCTGAAATTTTTAAAATATTTTTGTGTCTCTTGCAATCTGAAAGTAATCATGAAGGTAATTGCACTGATTTGATTACAGGAATATTTTCTTTTTAAGATTAAATGCTAGAAATACTCCATGGACTTACAATTCGGCTTCTAGTTGCAGGATTGAAAAATGTGTCTTTGTCTTGAATATAGAAGTTGGACAAATGTTCTTTTTGAAAAGGGGCAGTGAAAAACTCTTGCTCAGGTTTGATGACATTTTCATCCACGCTGAAGAGTCTACTAAACCAGTTGAAAGCTGACTCTCGAGTTTTCAGGTCACTGGGTTGCAGAGGCAATTTGATGTGCATAACCTCGGCGTATGTGCACAGCACTTCCCAAGGTGCATGCACTTTCACAAAAATAAGTTTTTCATCCAAAACCTAAAATGAAAGAATATTAAAAATATGTGTGTGAGAAAATGAAAGCAAAGGGTTTTTCATAACACTTCTTAAACTATCCAGAATTTTCTTTCTCTTTACAGCTCATAGATGACCTATTCAAAGTTGCATTCTTCGTCCATCTCAGCAAATGTAACATTAGCTTTGTAAAAGTACTGACATGAGGTGGAAACACTTGGGCACATAAACGCATATAAAGGTATATAAAAAAAGACAGCTAAATGTTCCCTTAATGCTTAATGTTTACATCTCTGCAAAGCATTTTACAAAGCAATTTAAGTTTAACAAAGCTTCCCCCATACGGGTTAGTTAGGAGTGTTTGTACTTGCAGCCTGGGAGGGCAGCTGTGGCTTTGGAGCTGTCAGTGATTCCCCAGCAGTTCAAGTACAACGCCAGGGTGACGTGACTTGATGGAAGCAGGCTAGGCACCCATGGGTGCTCCTGGGCAACATGAATTCCCAGCTCTGTAGGGAGAATGGGGAGAGGGAAAGGGGAATCAGCCGGGACTACTGAGAAAGACAGCACGGGGCACACGTGCTCCCAGTTGCATGCCCAAACTAGCACCAGTATGCAGCGGGAACCCTGACAGCCACTCTTGTCTCCTGTCTACACATTGCCTGCAGGCCTTCTATTGACACCCTGCATTAGTGAGTCTCAGCCACACGAAATTACATTATTAAGCTTGTTGGCTCAGGAACATCGGTTAGATATCTGATCTAGCCCGGAGAAACTTCCAGTTTCAAAAGTTTTTCAGTCATGATCGCAGCAGAATTATTGAGAACTGCAAAATGTAAGAATAGCAACAGGTCCGTGTCAGGTTTCCAGCAAGCAGATTACTTTCTTGTGAATGTGAAGAGCCAGACTGCATCTTTGGACGTGCAGCAGAAGCTCTTACTGCAGAAATCAAATAAATAACCATGATGCCATGGATTCCGAGCCTAATTTGGGAGGAAGGGGCAAAACGACCTTTTCTGGAGCCCACTATAGACTGCCAAACGACAGTAATTTTAGACTGGAAGTGATTGTCCTGGACGGGGAGACCCGGACGCAGCACTGCAGCCCTGCAGGGCAGGAAGGAAAGGGGCTCTATGGGCCTCTAACCTTCCCTGCAAGAGACAGCAGCTCCGGCAGCTGGTGTGCATTATCACAGTGCTCGTGAACTGCCCACAGGCGACTTCACAGCCCAAAATATACAAAGCATGATAGTTACAACTGTTTGCACTGTGCCAGGCCCTGCGAGAAGCAGGGTCACGTGCAGGAGCCCTGTGCTGCTCTCCTGGCAAGGGAATTCTGCCTCGGACACCCACTGGATTCCCACATGTCCTACACAGCCAGAGTAGGGAGAGAACCTCTCCTCAGAGTGTAGCAGTAATTTTTGTCTTCCAAGCGCTGAGCAAACAAAACCTATTTAATCTCCCCGCTTCCCATCTTTTACTTTGCAGAGGAAGGAACAGACACAAAGTTTAGAAGATTTCGCATCAGGTCACAGAGACGCTAGTGACGGAAAAAAGGTGGGCCGCCTTCTCCTGAGAGGAGAGAAAAGTTACAGTAAATTCATACATCCAGTTTCCTTATTCCCACAGGGGCAGCTTTGCTCTCAGACACAGCCGATCACACAGAGAAGAGCACTCACCGATCTCGTTGCTTCAAGTTGCAAGCCGTTGCTTATTAGGTTTGATTCATATTTTTGTCTCTTCTTCTGTTAAAAGGTATTGAACACTGTAAAACATCTGTTCCGAATTTCACAAATACGTACGCATAGAAGAATGGAATTGCCTCCCAAAACAGAGAATCATTAGGTCGTTATCTCTATAGCCCACTTGACAGCTACTGTGGTGATAGGTACAGTCTTACCTACTAATCCAGATCAGGTTTTTTTTGTCTGATAAGCAATATTGCCCTCAAATGCCCTCTTAGCTTCTGGTACATTACAGAGGTAAAAATGTTGTTTTTACCCTGAATTACCCCTGCAACTTGTGCTCTTCACCTTTAGTCACTAATTGAACTACTGACAGCAGCCTCCCGCCCCCCATTAATCTGCCCTTTAGAAAGTCTTCATCTCAAGGGCTTTCCATACCGTTTTCCTTCCAGCAACCTCTAACTTTATTCTTCTTTCACAGTAATCATATGAGTTCACACAGTGGTTCAAACTGTAGTAGCCCTCTACATTTTAGTCCATGGATAAGCATCCCCAAGGGAAGAAGCCGAGAGCTGTAGCACTTGTAGAGTCAGTGGTGCTATTCTAGGAGCATTCAGTGTCCCCAGAAGGACATGACAAGTTTTCCTCAGTAAAGATGAAATTCATGGATCATTTTAATTTCACTTCACAGTACCAGCACTTGGCAGGTAGTGAGTTACAAAAAATCTGAAATGTCTTTGCAATCTTGAATTTGCTTCTCCATGTGACCTCCCCCCAAAAAACACACAGAGACAAGCAGCCCCTCTCCCCTCAAAATACAAAATACACAACTCCATAAGGGATTTATAAGAAATTTTGAAACTTCATGTGAAGTAATCCAATGTAAAAGCTATCTGCATCAACTGGACAGTTCCCCAGTGAGCTATTTTTTTATGTAAGTCAAGGTTAGCCAGCTCTCCTCGGACTATTTTGACTGTGTGTTAGAATATCAGCATGGGTAAGGGGGGGCACCTGTAGGCAGCTGGGGCCAGGGGGGAGGCTTTTGTGAGCACCTTGCCAGAAGGAGATGACATCAACGCACTGGGAACTGATGGCTTTATTGCTGAACCAGGCTAGGCTAGGCATGCAGCGAGGTTCTTAGAGCAACTTGGTGATACTACTTTCTTACTCCCAGATGGCTTTCATGCCACTGGCAAATTTTTTGGTTGTTTATATGCCCTGTGCTTAAGGGATTTTTGCCTACCACTACTGGAACTTCAAATTTTTAAAAGAAGAATGGTCCACTGGTTTCTGTTGGCTGATCCTCTATAGCCAGACTAACTGCCTTAAGGTCTGTGCTTAAGATCCAGTCCTGTTGCTACTGTGAAGGACCAGAGTCACTGAATGACCCGTTAGATAAAGTCTTAGGAACTTGCATAGGTACATGGAAACTGGTCTTCAGGACCAGACCCAAGATCTACCCACTCTAAGGGGCAAAAGCCAGATGCTTCAGCAAAAGGGGCAAACATCTTCAGGAGTTCCACAGGAACAGGTCAGTTGTATCTCCACATAAGTTTCATCCAGTTCTTTAATGTTTAAAGTCTGTTGTGAGTCCCCAAAGCAGAAAAAAACTATTTTTCCAAAACTCTAGCAAGTCTTGGAATTAATAATTATAAAACTGAATAATATAAACAGCCCATCCCATTTATATTTGTTAGTGCTCAACTGCAGCACCCGTTTGTGGCAATGGTCACGACGGACTGATTTCGTATTTTGTCAAAAGGTATTTCTTTTATCTGTTTCGGATTTTCTGCCTTTTTATTCCAGTGAATATCACCTTCTTCTCAGCTTAAGGACAAGAAAAGCCAAATCTTTCAATGTTTTCTTCTTCTACCAATATTTATCACATTTCTCCTTATTACTCTCTTTTCTCAGGATAAAACCACAATCCCAAACTTTGAAAGCACTCTTCATGGAGGTATCATCTCTCCATGTCCCATTAATCCACTTTTTTATTGGTGACAGTGTAATGCTCTTTATATTTTTCATTGTATATATAATATTGTATATATATAAAAAATATGCACATATATAATAATATAATAATATATACTATACTATACTATACTATACTATAATATAATATAATGTAATGTAATATAATACAATATATTGTATATATCTAATACATTCTATTATCTAGAATGTTGATGGTAGCTGTACCCTGAAAAGGACACTTAATATAGGTGTTTCCTGTGACATCTAAGTCTCCTCCTTGTACTAACAGCACTAAGAATCCCAAATGTGAATGAGTTTTTTTCCTTGCAGTAACATATTTCTTTGTATTTTTCAACATTTCATAGGTACTCTCCATTCTCCTTCAAAGCTAAAGGTTCACAGTCATCTTGGCTTCTGAGTAAACTACAGAATTATTTCCTCTGCAATTTTTGCTATATCATAACTCAATCCCCTTACCAGATCATTAATATATGTACTACACAACACAGGAGTTGTTTGTTACTCCACTATTAACTCTTCTGCCTTTTCATCCTATCTCTTTGCTTCTTCCATATTCATGTGTTCTTTGTAAGGTGAATAATACTGAATCAGGAAAATATTTCAACTTGAGTTCTGCTTTGTTTCAGCAAATACAAAAGGCAGAGGGCTAAATACCTGTTTCATTTCTTCCTAAATAGCACAAAGATGTATGCAGGGCAATTCTCATTTGTAGGAGTCTAACACTTTTTTTTTTTAATCTTACCATTCAGATCGCTTTAATAATTTATTATGGTAAGGAGTTCCCCAAATTACTTTTGCCCTCAAAATCTTAGGGAAATGTTGACAATATTAAGGTTTCTAATAACGCATTAATGCAAGTAGTGAGAAACAAAGCCCCCGGGAGCCTTTGCTAATTAGGGGCTTTGCTATTTTATATAAATGATTGAATTATGTGTATGATGATCTATGGAGGAGCTAGACTTTTACCCAGAGGACTCCATAGAGGTTTCGCATTGGGTGGGAAATACAGCATAAAGATATGATAGCTTATTAGGCTGGAAGGTGGAGACTGTCCAAAGTTTATTTTAGTATCCGGCATTTTGCTCAGCTACCTGCAAGGCTAAGTTGTAATAATAACGTAACCATGGTAATGCTGCTGATCTAAACCTAACATAGATTTTGATGATTGAATGGCTAGCCAATAGACTAGGACACTATGAGGTGCATAATCACATACAGTCTTAAGAAAGTGAAAGCATAGTGTAAGTAAATGCCAAGTATTACAGGCATGTAGAAGGGTTAGCTCTTGGGAGCTGCTTTTTCACCATAATGCTTTCAATGTCTGGCGATTGTCTTGCCAAGCTGAGGAGACTAACAAGATTGTGGGTCTGGAAATCGGTAGCAGACCACTAGCAGTTTTTTTCTCTGTGTTTTGTAAATGGTAGGGAGCACTTGCTTTGATTACAGTGACAAAAGAATGCCAACTCATATCTTTGTTTAGTTTCTTTTGTGCAAAGAGTAAAGTTCCCCACAACAATATCCATGTGGCTTCAGGGGAAAAATCCTAACAAGGAAGGAGTGCTTGAATAGGCACCTCTGCCTTACCTGACAGGCAACAGATAAATCACAGCCAAGAAGAGAAAGAGCATGGTGCCCAAAGCCTCCCCCATGGAAATCAGCTAAAGGGAGTGGAGAGGATCACTGTATCAATATTAACTGCCAACTCTCACAATTTCTTTGGTGGTATTTGGAAGCCTTTCTGAAAGTCCCAGCTGTCAGCATCAGGAAATTAATTGATTGAGAAGCTCTGCTTCTGTAAGCTTCTTTCCCTTATGTTTGAAGATAACCATAAAAATGTGAAGCAGAATATGCTATAAAGGCTGACACAAAAAAAGTAAACCCAAAGAACTCCAAATACATATTTTCTGAGACACCCTCTGATTTTAGGCCAGCCTCGTGATTTTCTGAAACCTGATTCATGACCACACAGAACTGGCAATACTGCAGTCTAGCCCTGATCTCAACAGTGGCTTCTAGTCACCCTGTTTGGAAAGACCCACTTCTGGTCCTATGAATGTATGCAGTAACTTCAGAGTAACTCCCTCCTTCCATTTGTCTTCCCATCCTTCAGTCATCCTTCCTTCCATCCATTAGGCAAAGAAGTAAAATTTGGGTTTGGGGTTGCCTCAGGAACAGAGATTTTATTTCAGTGAGTTCCTGTTTCAAAACCAATCCATCCAGCAGGGACCAGGGCAGGTGTGGTTGCCCTCCTCCCAATTTCAAAGGTCCCTTTCATCCTTGTTATCAGACCTCCTGGGCAGGTCGTCTGGGCACACTGTGGGCATGCAGAGCCTGCCATCCTCTACTGCCTGAAATCACTGCATAAAATGGCACCGAGGTACCCCTCTTTCTGTAAACCCAAGTATTGTTCTGTCGCCGCAGGTGTGATGCATGCTAAACAGCAGGAGGAGTACAATTAGTTCGTTAAGTTATCGAAGCTTTTTGTTTGTCAGCTGTCGAAACTAAACAAGTCTAGAGGCAGGAACTGCTCATTGTTTGCTTATGAAGACAAACTTCTCTAGCCCTGCTGAAGTTCTCCGTAAGACCGTACTTAAAAAAAAATGATGTGTGTAATATTCTCTGTGAATTATAGTTTTCATTTAATTTGAAAAAAAAACAACCCAACTATCTATTTCTGTGAAGCACAGATTACTTCATGGCTGGAAATGAAGGTTTTGCCCACATTACTGCTTAAATTACTGACAGTCTTTCCATTTATTTCTGTTGGGGGAAGGAGATGGACTAGAATGGCATTCTGCATCGATCTATTTTTAATTCGCCTTTCTGGCGCTGACCCTTTAACTTTCAACAATGAGCTCCTTGAGGACCCCAACAGATAAAACTAGCATTTTGCAGCATTCCTGGAAAGACTGGTGATATTTAATTTCCGTTCTGATGGTAACCTATCCTGACAAATAGGGTACATAAATTGTAGGTTTAAAAAAACACGCTTTGGGCAGGAATTTCAATTGCTTGCAAGGTACACTTTCTGGAATCTGCTCCTGACAGTTTCATTTTTGCTAGTGCTTGCAAAATTAATTGTATACAACTTAAAAAGGCTTGGAGTTCAAATTTAGTTGCATATATGAACCTTATCTGCTAACTTTTGAATCTGTAAATTATGTTAGAAACTTCCACGAGGATGTAATTTCAGTAGTTTGACTTTGCCTCCTTTAAATCAGATTTCAGAAACACATGAAAATGAGGGAAGCATAGCACCACTGCGCATCTCCAAGTGCTTCAGAATCCCATATTTTTCTTCCTTCTATCCAAATCACCCCCATGTATTTAGTTATTTCCTTCTCTCCTCTGAGATGTTTTCCCAGGAATACTGCTAATTAATGTAAATGAATGCTGGGCCATTTTCTCAGTTACACTCATGCAATTCTTTTGAAAAAGGGCAGAAAGCCATTCAAATCAAATATAATGATAGTCCCAGGTCCCGATTCTTCTCTTGCTGCAGAAGAATAGATGGATCTGTACCCTGTTTCTCTGAATCCAGTAAATTGGTTACCTAGGTTGAGGTCTGATTTTCAAATCCTTCCCATTAAATTCAGTAAGTGTCTGGGGACTCCTCCACTCTCAGTATCATACAAAACCATCCAGTGCAGCACCCAAAACTTTTAACTTCAGAAATGTAGATCTATAGATGTCCACTAACAAGTTAAATTCTGCGTTGGCTTCCACGTCATGCAATCGAGTGGGGTGCAGTGCGCATCAGACAGAATTTGTCCCAGTGACTACACTCCTCGTCCCTACATTTCTCAGACCTGTAACATTGCACGTGGCCAGTGGAGACCTTGCTGCTGACCTCAGTGAGGTGACGATTTCACCCTTCGAGAACAGACTTCACTGGATCTGCTATTCTTTAATAAGCTGGAGTTTCCAAATTCTGTGAACAACAAACCTCTGGATAATAGCTCTATAAAACTGTCAGGAGGGTCAAAGAAAGAGTAGTATGAGCAAGGAACCTCTTCAGGCTTAAAGCACCTTGAATTACACAAGATACTGCTTATAAAAATTGGCATTTTCAGTTAATCATTGATCAGAGACAGACAGTGATGTATGCAGTATTTAAAGCTGACAGTAAATGGCAATTCTCTTCATTTTGGTATTTTGTATATCATCACAAGGGTAGAAGTCATTTGCCCCCCCAAAAAACTATAACAAATAAAAAATGGTGTCAGTAAAGACAAGCTATCGACTAGGTTTTATGCCAACACTGATGAAACCTTATGTATCTTATCTTGGGCAGCATCTTCTCCACACCTTTCTGGGAACTGTGGTAGGCCAAAATGTTAATTCTCTCCCTGGAATTCCAAGGATGCAAAACTGTACCATAAATGTCATTTTCCTTTCCATCTCAGACATAAAGTAAATGTGTTTTGTTTCGTCTTTTCAAATATCCTATTCGCACGTATTTCTTTTTTAATTCTCAGTTTCTCTTCTTTCACTCCTAGTATGAGTGTGAGGTAGGTCCCAAGGCAGCATCCTGCATCCCGCTCAGGAGGAGGTACAGGAAGAAAAATGTTATCAGTGCTGCCAACACCTGTGCAGCATTCGCTTAGGGAATAAAGATTTGCAGCACATACAGCTTCCTCCACTTGCATAGCAAGTGATGTCAAGTGAGACGAAGGACCTCTCTGTCTCTGAGGCGACTAAAGTGCTTGTGTGCTTGGAGCTGACCTGCACCTATCCCACCCTATAAAGTTAGAAAGCTTACATCTATTCACATTTTTAAAGCCTGTTCCTCCAACAATAGGTAAAGGAGATGCATTTCTAAACTGATGACAGCTGTATGTGATGCATTAGAGGGAGGGAGCCAGTACTTCTGAGTTGTATGGCAGGAGTTTGGTTATGACCAGGTAACTCATTTCAGCTTATGTGACAGACTCACTGAACAAAATCCTCTCTTCACTCCCTCTCCTGCCTCCACCTTTCAGCACCCCCTGGTACTTTATGCTATGTGTAACATTTTGTCTGTTTCATGGTCAGCTTTGGATTTTTTCATTAGTTCTCCAGCTCAGTGTCATCACACTTGTAACCTTTGTTCTTGTCCTTGGAAGTCCTCTGTAACTGCCACTTCTTCATCCTTGTCTCTTTCTATGCTTTCTACTGCCCTTTCAGCACCGTATGTGTTCCCAGTATCAAAATTCTTGCCTACGCCTTCCACAGTACCCCTATGGCTTCAGATTCTCCCTGTCCATGGAAATCCTGGCTCTGAAAACTGCTATCACCCCTGTTTTCAGCTTCCTTCTGACACATCCACGTTACCCCAATCACGTGTCTCAATCTCCTGGCCGTACTTCTGTCCATACAGCCCTTGTTGGCCACTTTGCTGCCAGGCCACACAGCTGGCTCTTGTTCAGCTTGCTGTCCACCAAGACCATGAGGGCCTCTTCCACAGAGCTGTTCCCCAGCCACTCAGTCTTCACCTTATCTGATCGTTAGTCTAATATACTCTTGTTCTCGTGTTTGTTGTGTGTAGGTAGACTGCTTCCTCTTCCTCAGCACACCACAGATTCAGTGTGGCTGCAGATCTTTGCAGGACTGAGACCTTTGAAAGTAAACTTTTTTTGCAAGCACCTAGCACAGTACCCACAATCTCCTGGTCTAATTATTCATGGTTTCATTCTGGCTAATGTTCTAACATTAATGCTGCACTAAAAATACTACTCCATTGCTCACATTTAATTTCCATCACTGTTTGGAAAAGACACTCATTATATTTTTAAGTACATTTGGGCAATGGCCAAATATTACAAACATAAATGTAAAATGCTAATTGATAAAAACAATTGTTTCCAAAGGGGCAGCTTTTTGTTTCTAATTACCTCTTTCAATTATTTTTTATTGCTGATCCTGTGATCATGTGTAACGCAACATCCACCCACTGCAGGACTCCCTCAAACCCTACTAACGACATTCCTTATGGCTGCCCCGTTAATGCCAACAACAACACTGTGTAATGAGTATCAGCCAACTTAGCTACAGGCCTTTTTACTCCCACTCTTCTCTTTCCTAACTGCAAATCATTATTTGTATATGAGCTGCTTTCAGTGATATCTTTGTCCTTGCCTGCCTCTACCAGAGGCTGCTGCTGGAACATGGAGATGCTAAATCAGAGAAGGAAGCGGGTAGGTGAGAGAGTGCAGATGCCAAGGGGACTACAATCCCGTGGATGGATATTTCTCAGGTAGTTCACAATTGAAATAGCTCAGTGGCATGGCTGAGCTTGTTTTTGTGGCCCTGGGTGCCATAATGAATGTAGTCTACTGATAGAACTACTGAAATAATTAAAAAATAATAGTTAAAAATAATCTGTGATTGTCGTTCATAGTTGCTAAGGAGCATCAGTCACTGACTTGAGTCAGAAATCTTTTGCAGGGTCCCTAGGGAGGACCACGCTGTTGAAGTGTCAAGGGAAGGAGTGGGACAGGGAGAAATACTGGTGGCAAAGTGATGTACGTTTCCCATAAATGACTTAGGTACTTTATCGGGCAGAATGTCAGCACCTATGTTCATAACTGTGTTCTGAAGCATGTGGTCAGCTGCTTCCTTCTATGGGTTCCTCTGAATACCTGGATTTTAATACCAAAGCCCACTAGGGGCCTAATTCAATCACTGTAGGTATAGAAAATTGCCTTAGTCTGAAGATCTTGGTGTCTAATTCTAACTGGGAACCTGATACCAGCATTTTTCTGCTCACATTTACTGAAGCGTTCCCTCCCAGGAGGATGCTCAGAGGCCACGTAGCACACACTGAACAGACACGATGGGCAGTGCTCTGCCCGCTTACACAGCAATCTACTGGCTTGAGCTCACCCCTGTTCCCTGCACAGTTTGATGGACTTCAGTCTCCCACCTCCCAAGAGCACTCCTAGGACAGGGCAACGCAATTGCCATTCTGGGTGAGGGCACTGTCCTTTCTGCCCACTGCTCTAACATCCAACAAATGATTCAGATTTATACTGACAATAACTTACCTTTTGCTTTTTACGATCACTCCTCTTATGAGTAATTTTTTTGCTTTCATCTTCATACACCAAAACAAAGTCAATTCTTCGCTGCCCATCGCTGAAGAACAAGGAGTCAGGCTTATCATCAAAATCAGCCTGGAAGGCAGGTAGGATAGATTAACATGAAGAACTTTACTCGTCAGTTCCTTACTTGCTTCCTGTTACACAGTATTTCAGTGAACAGAGAAATTCAACACGTCAGACTCATATAACATGAAGACCAAAGTGACAACAAAAGTAGCACAGAGTAGAATGGAGGAAAAAAAGTTTGGGAGGTCTCTGCATGACGTAAGAACAGCAGAACTTTGACCTAATTTTGTTCTTTAAAAATAGCATATTAGCTTTTGGCAATGGGAGGAGCACTGAGATGCAGCACCATTCCTGAATAACACATCTGTCAAGTAATTTGCATGTCATCATGGACACAATGTTATGCTGTCTACAAGATATGTTGTTGCCTGATGAGAGTCTCAGAATTAGTGCATTCCCATCTGCCCCCTTACCTGCCAGAAGTTTAAGCATCTCTGCAATTAAAAACACCCCAAACCAAAAAGCCCGGTAGTTTTATGCACCATAATACCCAAACCCACCATTGCCCAGAAAACAAAGAACATGACCAGGCTGCAGATGAACTCTCAAAATGGACACATCCTATGTGGATTTATTTCCCTTTTTATTCGCAACATCTCAGCAAGCAAAAAACATTGTTGTATGCCACACATCCGTCATGTTACAATATATGCCAAAATTGAAAGGATTAACATATCCATAAGCCATTATCTAGTCCCCGGAGGAAAGTAGCATAGATTGTCATATCCACTAATAACATCTTAATGTGTTATTTCATGTGTGAAATGATACAGACACATTGATGATGGGGGAACCTGAATCCTCGAGTACTGATTTTGTAGTTTCTTAGAGTACTCTGAGGGCATTATCACATGTAACGACCCCTCCTTTCAGGTAATATATAGCTGTAATGTTATCAGAATCATCATGTAATGAGCACCAAACTCTCAGGTACTTGGCCAAATCCATCCATGGTGTTAATGAGGGCAGTGCCACTGAAGTTGATAGATATCAAATGTCTGAAATGGGACTCAGCATTGCATTAGAGATGGTAAGATCTCCAAAGCTGGCAAGACTCTCATGCAGAACTGCAGAGGAGCCTTGGCTTCCAGACGGCTGGGCATGCAGGGTGGCCCAGGGCAGGATCAGGCCAGGCAAAATGATCCAGAATAATCTCTTGAACATGTTGTGTCTTTGGGGACACGGTAAAGATTCCCAGATGTCCTATCCCTGAAATTTCCCTGTCAGTGCAGACCAAACTTCATGAGGGATGCCAGGTTCAGTTTTGGGAGCTCTGGGATGTCTGGTCCACAGAAAGGCACATGGAAATGCGGTTATGGTGTCAGAGACCCCTTAAGTGCAGACTGAAATGGTTGTTCTTCAACTGTGATAAAACTGAGAAGAATGCCAGTCTTCAGTCAGGAGCACCCCAGTTCCAGGGAGCATGCAGTGTTTTAGGAACCACATGTGTCAGTGTTTCCAAAACAAAATTTCCCAGGAGTTTTATTCTAAACCTCTCCCTGTAGAGGTTTTGTTACTGTTTATTGGCCGAGTCAAAACAGTTGACCAAGATGTGTCTCCTCATAATTATGACAAAATTTCCATATTTTAAATAAACTCAGGGGAGTTTAAACTCACTTTTTTTTTACATTCTATGTGCAAACGCTAGGCTCTGCTGCAAAGAGGTCCTGTTAACTTAGTTGCTTCAAACAGTCTGAGCAGATTCTTGGTTAGGACCGTTCTCTTTGAATTCCACCTGTGCCTAGAGATTTGTGACAAACCTGACAGCAAGCAGCTGCTGACATACATACATGCATATATTTATATGCTGACATATGGCCAATATACACATATATTCTATGTTAGTTTCACAACCTGGCCTAGGATTCAGAAACTACCTAGGCAGTCACTAAATCAACATACAACTGCACACTGTGAATAAAGTTTTAGGAAAAAAAATGCTTTAAACTTTCAGATGGCATCACCAGACCACAATGACACTGAGTATCTCTGTCACCCAAAGCAAGTCACAGATGTGAGTTTCTAAATTCTTGAGAGCTAGAGTTGGCATAGTCCCATCAAGCAATCAGACTTGACCCTGACAAGTTTTCCTCCCGCTGAGGACTACCCACGGGTGCAAAATGCAGCCCTGCTGTGACCATTTCCAGTCTCATTTAAAACATAATCATGATGATTTCATGTTCACTAGATTCCCATCGGGAGGAAAGCATCGACAACAGCCAACAGCCCAGCTTGGGAGACAGCTTGGGAGGTGCTGGGGCAGCAGCAGAAGAGAGGGCCCGGGGAGCTGAGCCCAGCCAGGCACAGAGCCCAGCCCTGCAGCCTCTGCTCTCCCCCAGGACCCCAGCAGGCTCTGGCTAGGGCTAAAATTGCTCCGTGTTGCAATGGTGGAAACACAGAGCCCAAACCTTGTGATAACGAATAAGGAGGGGAAGTGTTGCCACTGCATAAACCAGAAGGTTTTTTAATTGGGCTTCTTGGTCTTTGAATCTTAGAAATAGCGTTATAATAACTTCCATTTAAAGATACAGAGTTTAGTTGTGAAATTCAAGCACTTGAAAGCATAAAAGTAGCAATAGCTTTGAGTTTTTTTCACTACAGCTTTAAACTCTTTTTCCTGTATGACCTATCCACAGGATAGAAAAGAAAGAAATGGCAGACAGCAAACATCAGATCAAGATTTGATCTAACAAATCTTGATCATAATTTGTGATTGCATAACTTCACCGTTGAAATAATTTTCCTTTAAACGTAGTCTCCTTTAAGCTTATAAAACTAGTGTGTAACTTAGTGATAACTGGCTTAACTGGATTGTCAATAACCAGACACAAAGACTGCCTGTTAATCAGTATTCTGACTCATGAATTTACTTATGATTTCATTCACATGAGTATATACAGGTTACCATATATATACACCTTTCTACGCACATATCAAAATATGCATATATATAACGGAATATAACTGAAAGATTAATCAGTGTTGGACTGCATGAATCCAGATACATGGAAGTTCATACTCATGAAGCTAACTTCTTAAATGTAATCTCTATTGCTTTTAATCATGAGGGCATTGTTCAATTGACCTATCCATAGAGACCTTATATATCAATAAAATAATAAAGAATTGACTCATTACACCTGAATACTTAAGAGATCAAGATTAAGACCCACACAAATAAATTGTAATGTAACATTAAATGTTGCTCAATTAAAAGTAAGAAGTAAAATGCAAATAGGAATGTAATAGTTAAGGTTCCGACAGCCACATTAACTGAAATGTGCGGTGTATCTTGTAATCCCTACTGGATAGTTTGTAATGAAAAATCATATATTATTCAACATAATTACAAGGGGAAAACCAAGACTGGAAACCAAAAAGATGTGCTATACTCTGAAGTTAATAATTCCTTCGAGACAATGTTTGTTTTTTTTAAAATATGTAGCAGTATTTGACGGTATTGCAAATGTTATTATTGTACAAATGCACACAAGCTTGTGTGCATAGACACATAAGTTAACAGGGCTGAAATTCCAATACATAATATTTCTTAAGTATCAGTAGCAAATTATAACCCAAAATAACGAACAGGCCCATTGATACCTCTTTGTTTTGGAAGAAACAAACGTGGGGTCTATTTACTGCACTTTCTAATTTTCTTAGCCTCAGCATAATCACATTTTAAGTACTGACGGAGGCAATCGGTTGTGCACACTAATGTTATAATAATACCCTAGTGGACAGCAGGTTAATATTGATTAACATCATTAATAAATAAAAAAAAGTAATACATTTAGCTGTAAAATACTAATTATGTTTAGCATACACTCCACAGCGCTTCTGAACTCTCCAAGTGCTGTACAATCAACCGCTTGCCTGCCACTGAGACAGGGAACTATTAGCTGCTTTATTAGCAGAAGGAATCTGAAGGAGGGGAGGGCCAGGTTGTGGATAAAGCTTTTTGAAACACTCAGGGTACACTGACGTGGGCTAGCCTAGAGGCAGCACGGCCACGTTCACGTGGGTGTACCTCTGCATTTCAGTTCAGAGCAGGGTCAGATCAGGTGAGCATCAGCGGCTCTGCACTCCAAGGAATGAGACTGGAGGTAGCTGGCTGTAACAAAAAGCCCAGAAATGTGTATAATGTAGCCACCACCACCAAATGCCTTGTTCTGCAGACCCACTGCTTGGGTCCTCACTGCCGGGTGACATATGCACAGCTGGTGGGATCCTGCCGGAGCTGGGAAGTGCTGCACTGGTGCAGTCACACTGAAGGTCCCCGGCCAGCCCTGGGCAGCCCTCTGCCACGCACACCCCCCTGCTTACACACCTTCTCTTAATCCTCCCTGACTCTGGCCCCCTGTGGCCACCTCGGCAAAGTAATAAGGAGCTTCCTGCGCTCTTTGCTAATCCAGCACAAGCAGCTGTTGGTAAACAGCATCTGCTCTCCCAGCCCTCGGGACAGAGTGGCACTTGGAGAAGGGACAAGTGGGACATGAAGACAAGCTTGCCCCTCCACACAGGGCTGTAACTGCTTTGGCTGCAAGTGACCACATCATGGAACCGACCCTCAGCCCCTTGACTCAGAGCTCCTCGGGAGGGAGGCTACTGTGTGCCCTTCCTCCTCACGTATAACCAGGCTTGCCGGTACCTAAAGGGAGCTGCCATGTCTCACTCTTGAGACCGTTCCTGTAGTCATGGCTACATGCGATGCCTGCAGCAGAAGATGAAAGGAGACCACTCTAGTGGGAAACTCACTTCAGCAACAGCGATGCTCCATGCCAGGGGAGAAAAAATGGTGGCCTTACAAAGAAACCTGTCTTCACTTTTCCAGGCTTCTCTGGGCATTATATTGTTAAACATTCAGTGGGGATAATGGTGGGAAGGGCAGCACAGAGACAAGCATGAAGAAAAATATGTGCACAGGAATTGCAGTTATTTATTGTTTACTACACCCTGAACAAGCACAGTATTGTAAACTGATTTTTTTTAAATAACAAGAGATTCTGCAGGAATGACTTATCTAACTGGAAGGATAAAAGAAGTGCTTTATTTTGTCCGCATGAGCCTTTGGTGTGACTGTCAATAGCACCAAATGTAATCATTATTGGAGGGATAAACTACTTGCCTGCAACCTCACATAATTTTCAGATATGCTTCAAAACAGCTTCCTGCAGCATGCCAGGGAATAAATCAGTACTGGGAAACAAGAGAGCAGAGCAGAGCCTGTGTAACATCACCTCTGCTGACAGGCACCTGCAAAAAATCCTCCGGCTGGAGCACGGTGACAGTCTTGCGGAGGACCTGCAGGTTACACTTCAGTTGTGAGTTTTACGTAGGTGAAAATTTCAGAGTGCCTGTTTGGCAGCACAGTTATTTCTCTCTACAGGCCTCAGGAAACTTCAAATCAATTAAATAAAAAGGAAACAAATTATATTACCAGGTTATCATGAAACATAATTATTTGTAAAGTGCTTTGAGATCATCTGGAGAAAATGTTACAGAAATACAAAGCTGTTCTTCCTATCACAGCTATATAACCAGATCTTTTATTACTTTATGTTCTAAATGACCAATAGAGACAACTTTCTGACATTAAGAGCAACACAAGCATTTACTTCTGGAAGATATAAGACATATATAAAAGATACTTCAGGAAGATACCAGTTTATTTGCATACCACATATTAATGTTGGTCTGTCTCCGTAGGGCCATAAAACTGTTGTGCCTTTAACATTTTTCCTTGTGACTCATATTTGCTAATAACAACAGAGGACTGTTTTAGTTCTGTTTTTAGCAACAGTGAGATTATTAGCAAGCACTTAATCAGAAGAAGGTTTTTTTTTTTCATTTCCTCAACATGCAAAGAAATTTTTGATGTGTAACAAACTGAAATAAATTGAGACTAAAGACAAAGTAGAAAAATGCGGGGCATCGTTACAGTCATACATTTCTGTCAGCAGAAAGCGGCTGGTAACCGGCCAGGCATCGGGATGCCTTGTCCCTTGAGCTAAGTTTGGACCAGACACCCACTTGACTTCCTGTCTGAGCGTCACGTCGCTGCTGGCTGCAGAAGGAATTCCAGTCACTCCTGATTAGAGAGAGACCAAACGGCCTTACTTTTAAAGGAAGGTGAAGACAGTACTCTGCTGAAAACCTGCTTTTCAGCACCTCCCATCTTTCTTGGGATGCAGGAGCTGGGAAATTCACTCTTTCGGTCTTCCCTGAAGCCTTCTCGCTGCAGAAATTGTATTTGAGAGGCAGCAGTAATAATAGACAATTTGAAGAAGTTTTCCTCCCCTCTGCAGATGTTGACTCTCAAAAAAAATCTTACTGTTACATCCAAATTCAAACTATCTACCTATGAAGCAGATAAGACTGCAAAATGAAACATCTGAGAGCTGGAAAAGGCTTGAATTAATGCTGTCTATGCAGTTTTGTCTTCCTTGTACATACTATTTATGATACATGACTTAATTGCACAACCACATGCCATACTTCTACCCTCCTTCTAGTAGTTACGGAATACTCCTTATTATCCTCTTTATTCAATGTCTTTTTTTGTTACACCTCATCTAAATAGGGCGAACGCTTAAAATAGGGCTTTCCTTCTGACTATGCCTGTGGTATAGAATCTCCTCATAGAATCTCAATGTTCTACAAATGTTGAGAAATTTAATTTTACAAGATCCCCCAGGAGAGAAAGTAACAGTATAACCCTCATTTTAACAGTGATCACATAAGGCATCCACAGATCAATGCCAAAACCTGTTGACTGTCTCCTAAATTTGGAGTTCTAGCTTGAGACACCAGGACAGTGACATCTTTCCAGAGAGCTCAGCAATTCTCTCTTCAAAGAGCAATACACTCTCTTTCAGGTCCATATGTGACTATTTTGAACTAATGCAAACAGGGTCACAGATGTTCCCCTTTGACACTCAGGAAATAAACAAAAGCTGGATGTGACTTTGCAAGTCTTGCACAGAAACCCTATAGCAGAAGCAAGGATAAAATCCTATTATCTAGGACTGCACTCAGTTTCTCTAGTCATAAGAACTTTTCATTTTTTCCCTGCAATTACCTGCCACATTTACACCTTGCTGAAGTACGACAAACAACACCCTCACAGAATTTGGGCTTTTTGGAGATTAATGTCCTACTCATGTGCTGAATGAGGCAGGGATCTTGCGGCAATCTTAGTATGTGATCCTATAATTAGAGACAGCACCAGAAGAAGAACAGGACCGTTTCTATTAACCAATAACTTACGCAGTTTTGGCTACTCCAGGATGACTTGCAAAATCAAATCAAATTTCCAGAATACTTCCAGCTGCAAAGCATGATCTAAGTTTAGACAACAGGCGCAGTACTTCCCTTCTATTCAATCATTTAAGGTTAGGCTTCCTATTCAGTTTCCGTTTCTAGCTACAATTAGCACTCATCCATTTCACAGACAGGCTCAGCAGACCACAATTTTATCTTTCTGGCCCCTCCAACCCACTGAAACTGCCCAGTGGCCGACAAGAAGAACCTGACATGGAAGGAGCAGTGCAGAAATGATGCTGCTAAAACTGAGCAGAAATTACAACTGCTGGTAAACATGAGTAACCAAAAACAAAAATTGATTTTGACAGTTGATTTTCAGTAGAAATAAAAATAAATTCTACCAAGACTGCTCTGAGGAGACTGTTCTAACCACAAGGTATATGACATTCTGGCTGGTTTGATGCTATTTGTCTTCATATAAATACATTAAAAAAATTTCATTGAACCACAAGGAGAGTCCAAGAAGGATTTTTATAACATCCTAGTCAGGGCACTCAGTTGGGAAATGGAAGCACTTGGTTCCACATCATGCTCTGAAAAATGTTTAATTCTTTTTCCAGAGACTGAAGCGGCTTCAAACGAAGAACACCCTGCCGCAAAATGCTGCGGCAGGGGCAGGGGAGGTGAAGGTATCCAGCTCCCAGAAGAAAACTCATTTGCTGGTAGTTTGGGTATTTGTTTCCTACAGCAGAGGCAGGCACAAACCCCCCTGACCCATAACTATGACAAGTGCTTTGCCAGCTAAGCTGCTAGAGCGGCTCCCCAGGGCAATGGTGCACCTTGGTGCAATGAAGACTGAATCTATCCCTTCATTTACACTGCTTTCGAAATGCACTACCACTACAGAAATCCTTTGTCTCTTATGATTCCGTTTCCCATTTCAGTTTGATATGAATCAAAATAGCTTTCAGTTTGGTGGCCAGGCCGAAAAATAAATCATCTAAAGAGCTCCAATCATAATATCTATATATAAGTCAAGGCAGGCTTAATTCAACCCCCTGAATTTGAATGCTTCATTTGCATCTTTTAACTTTTTAGCTCATTTTTCATTGCATTGTATGTTCTCCTAGTCGTATAAAGAAAACAAAGTATTTCCTTATAGGCGGAGAAGTCAGCAGGACCTGGACCACCACAGTCATAACAGACCTCCTCTGTGCAAGCTAAAGGGATAACTGGTAGCAGCACTAGTAGGCTGTCATTCCTGGAGTAGGATCTAGTAGACAGCGATAAAGAAATGCACAGGCAGGTTCAGTTATTTGTAAATAGCTGGTAGTTTAAATGTCAATGCCTTGGACAGGGCTGACTGGGAACCAGCTCCAGCTCTCATTACTTGGTGGCACCATTAGAGTACTTCTTTGAATGATTTCTCTATGTGAAAACTGCCATGAAGCTCTTAAGTGCTCAAAGTTAATGGGTCCAACAAGCAATCCTTGACAGCGTTGAACCTGTTTCTTTATGCCTTGTTCTCCTGTAACACTGATCCACTTGTAGAGGTAGCTTGACTAGAAACACCCAAAGCCAGTGAGACTAACCTCTGTCATTAGAGCAATGAAACACAGAACAGGCTTTTTTTTATTTGTATGGAGTTGCTCTATTAGCTTTAGGATAAGTGTATGATTTTACACCTTTTTAAATCCAGGCTCATAGCTATCTCCTTGTGCAACTAC